CCCGCCACCTTAGGTGTATGTGGCTGGCGCCTTAGCCGCTTGAGCCACAGGCACCGAGCCTATAGATTTATTTCTCCATCACCCATGCTGTAGTTGTCATCTGTATTATACCTATGTTAAGTTACAACCCTCATAGTGTTATAAATTTTGGGGTATATGAATTTTAAAGAAACTAAGAGGAACTAATAGTCTTTTACATTTACTTATATATTTACCATTTCTGATGCTCTTTATTTCTTTCTAAAGACTGTGTTTCAGCCTGGTCTCGTTTCCTTTTAATATGAAGAACTTCTTGTAACATTTCCTGTAGTCTAGGCATGCTGGTAACAATTTCTTAGTTTGTATTTCTCTCAAAATGTGTTTTGACTTCATTCTTGCAGGACTTATTCTGGATGTAAATTTCTGAGTGATAGGTTGGGTTTTCTTTCAATACTTAAATATTATTTTACTATCTTCTGGCTTCTGTGTGTTTTCCTGTATGTTCTTCAACATAGTTATAGTAAATGCTTTGAAGTCCCTATCTGATGAATTTCAATATTTGGACCATTTGGGGATTGGTTTCTGTTGTGTCCCTGTTTCTTTATATGTTTAGTAATTTTGGATTGTATCCTGGATGTTATGAATGCCATGCAGCCAGTGGTTCTCAACCTGTAGGTCGACTCCTTCATAACAATGAAAATACATCACGGCATTAGGAAGGTTGAGAACCACTGTTGTAGACACTCAGAATTCTGTTATGTTCCTTTTAAGAGTGCTAAAAGCTTTTTGTCCAGCAGATGGAACATCGTTTCAGGTATTCATAAGCTAGGCTGCTTGGATTTTGCCCTGTATATGTGACAGCCTGGAATTTGGGTAGAGTTTATATGCAGAATTTGGAATTCTCCTTCTGGGATTCTCCTTTTTTGAGAGTACCCCTTCCTTTTAAAGTTGTTGCAGTTGCTTCAAACTCTTCTTCAAGCACAACTCTAAAAATTGAGTGTAGGCCAGGTGCAGTGGCTCACACCTGTAATCTCAGCACTCTGGGAGGCTGAGGCAGGTGATTGCTTGAGCTCACAAGTTCAAGACCAGCCTGAGAAAGTGTGAGACTCTGTCTTTAAAAAATAGGTGGGCATTATGACAGGCTTCTATAGTTCTAGTTACTGGGGAACTGAGGCAAGGAGACCGCTTGAGCTCGTGAGTCTGAAGTTGCTATGAGCTAGGAAGCCATGGCACTGTACTGGGGGGCAAGAAAGTGAGACTCTGTCATAAAAATAAAAATTGAGTTTAGCCAATGTAGTTCCCTTTCTCTCAAAGTTGACTGCAGGGCTAGGGGTGGTAGCTCATGCCTATGACACTCGCGCTCTGGGAGGCTGAGGCAGGTGGACCCCTGTTTCTACTAAAAATAGAAAAACTAGCCATGTATTATGGCAGACTCCTATAGTCCCAGCTACTTGGGAGGCTGAGACAAGAGTTTGAGGTTGAGATTGCTGTGAGCTGTGGTGCCACAGTACTCTACCCAGGGTACAGAATGAGACTCTGTCTCAGAAAAAAAAAAAAGAGTTGATTTCATCTGTTTCTTTCTGCTTTTGGTTACTTTTTGGTACTTTCAGGTAGTTGTTTTTACATTTTGCCCAGGATTTATAGTTTTTACCTGTGAGCCATTTGGTCTGGGTCTGAGATGAGTTGGAAGAAGAGCCTACTCTGATAGGTCAGTGACAATCTAAAATATTTCCTGACAGGGCTAAATGTCCCCGGGCACATTCTTGGGCATCTCTGGCCCTTATTATTCTCAACTTTTCCCCAGTGTCTAATGTTGGTTGCTGCCTTCTCAGAGGGGTCTTGTTGGATAGAGTCTGTGACGGAGACACTTGGTAGATGTCTCCCCAGCTGGGGTGGGTACCTGCCTATTCCCAGTTCTTAGCACTGGTCCCTTCACTGTATCTCACATTGGAGACTGTAGGTTCAGTGAAGACTCCACATCACCATACTGCAGCCAAAGGGGTCTTCTTTCTGCTCTGCAGCCTTATACGGCCAGGGTAATACATGGCTGTTTTCTCTCATGTTGTGGAGTAGTGCCTGTTACCGCTCAGCAGTGTAGCCCTTGACTAGGTGATAGCTAAATAAAATTTAGTTTCTGCAGTGTTCCTTATGGTATTTATTTGGACCTGAATGAGGAGGGTTTGGGGGCTACAGATTAGAATGCTAGTTTGAACACAAATTAGAATTGACTTATGAGTGCTTTTGCACTTGGTTACTCTTAGTTTCTTGTTTCTTTTTTCATCAGTCTGGGGCTAAAACTGTGCGAGGTTGGAAGGTCTGATTTTAGACGTTCTGTCTGGGTGATTCTGGCATGGAGCTGGGCCTCTGCCTCAGCTGTATGGGGTGGGAGGCTAGTTTCCTGTTGTGCTGCACAGGCCTGGTAGTATGTTAGTACCTCACACACAGTGGCCTTTGAAGTACATCTCATACTGGTGGGCAGGTGGGAATCAGCTTTTCAGGGGTGACTGGGCAGGTTAAGTCAGGTGTCCATGGCCACATTGACTCTAGTGTAGTGTATAAGTGGAGTTTGCTGTCCTTGATTGAGGTTTGTGTTCTCCCTTCTTTTACAGTTTTGTGTTTGGTTTTTTTTTTGGCCGGGGCTGGGTTTGAACCCGCCACTTCCAGCATAAGGGGCCGGTGCTCTACTCCTTTGAGCCACAGGTGCCACCCTATTCTCCCTTCTTTAAATTTTTTTTTTTTTTTTTTTTT